CACACACACACACACACACACACACACACACACACACACACACACACACACTTCCCAGTTTTGGATCAAGATGTGAGCTCTCTGATGCTCCTGCCACTGTGCCTTTACTCTGCCATCATGGACTCTAACCCTTGGAAACTGTAAACCTGTTAAACACTTCCTTTTATAAGTTGCTTTGATCATGGTGTCTTACCACAACAAAAAAGTAACCAGGATAGTTCTAGTCACACGAGTTAACCCATGCCGCCCCTCCTTACCTTCCCTGGTGGTGAGAACGACAGCATAGGCTTTGATAGGTCCATGGCTGGCTTCAAAACCACTGAACTTAACCTTTACTGAATTGTGACTGATAGATGTAATATTGGGAGATCCATCGGGAGGAGGTGGGTCTAAAACAACACAAAACAGAAGAGTCACCCAACATTTAAAACCAAAGAAGGTGAGAAACCACCAGGCAGAGAATGTGCTCGGATGCTCTCTATAAGACCTGCCCCGGCCCAGGAAGATCTACCCATGCCCAAGCAGACCTGCCCCTGTACGGGAAGCTGTATGCAGAACTCACCCAGAACATATCCCAAAGTAAGAGGCAGGAAGGGAGTAAGTGCTGTGCAGAGACCTGGATCCTGAACAAGCCGGATGACAATGACTCCACAGATGTCCCCACATTTACCATCAGCTCTCCAGATGATGACAGTCAGAAAGGATCTCACACTTCCACCCCAACTACACTATCTAGCTTACCCACTGCAACTCCAGAATCCGGTTCCTTCTCACTCCTCCTTCTGAATTCTAAACTGACCCCGCCCCCACAGCCCACCGGAAACAAACAACAAACCCAGCAGAGACTTTACGCCCCAACTCTCCTCTCCTCCAACACCTCCCAACCCAGGGGCAACGTAACTTGAACTGAATTTGTGTTAAGTTCATACATGTATAAATATTCATCTACAAAAGGAAATCACCAACTGAAAAATGAGAATTGCTGCATAAAATGATGTGTGGTCACATCTGTTCAGCTTATTTTTTCCCTTTTTCCGTTTATTTTCATGTATCTCAGGCTTCTTTGAACTCCCTATAATTGCGAGGATGACCTCAAGCTTTTGAGCTTCCTGCCTCCACCTTGCATGTGTTGGGAGGCAATCACACGCACTTTGTGTAGTGTCGGAGACTGAACTCAAGCTTCATGCATGCTAAGCAAGTGCTCTACCAACTGAGCTACAGCCCCAACCCAGAGATACCCAGTTCTGATGCGCTCCTATGCTCTACGCCAAGCACTATCCTCAGCCCAAGAAGCACAGGCTCAGCCCTGGTCTCTGTTCTTGAGCAGTTTATACAGAGTGGACACCATGAAAAGAGGAGCTACAGAGGGGGAGATGAAATGTTCGCTGTTTTATGTTCTACAAAGCCAAAGTGCTGTGCTATGGGGCAGGGTACCCCGTTGTGTGCCACACAACTTTAGGGAGTCCCATGCTTGGTGCTTTCCCTGAGACTGTATAGCAAACACCTGAGCAGCCATGCGTGTGGTCTTCACTATTTAATGTGCAGTACAGCAGTCCTGCTTAGTGGCTAAGTACTGTTTCTCCTTTTTACAACTGAGCCTCTTAGCAAGGTTAATTAGCTTTTCTAAAGATCACATGACTGGTAAATGGGTCAAATGGAACTCAAACCAGGGTCCACCTATCTACTCTGAGCCTCTGTCTATAAAACACTTCAACCACTTTCCAAGTCAGGTCCCTCGAGTAAGAGGTCCTTTTAAGACAACCACTAATTCTTTAGAAATTGGAAGAAATACTATTGTGCCCTGAATAATATTTATCTAAGTCAAAAAACACAAAGGGAGATATAACACCACCACCGCACTGGTTGAACTAAAACACAAGTTTGGCAAAGACAGCGGAGCAATGGACAGACAAAACAAAGTCAATTCTTCCCAAGCAGGGGGCGCAGGAAGAAGGGGGGAGAGAGAAGGAATGGATATGAAGGGTTGGCTGAGGAGAGCCCTGCACAGTATGTGGTCTTTTCTTCCCCTAAAGCAACTCAGGCTCCTGTCAATAGGTCCCAGGGAAGTAAGTCCTGACTAAGCTGTTGCTTTTTAAGTCTTCTTCTGTAAGCATGGGGGTCACAGTGGTATGGGCTGGCTACATCTGAGAGAAAAAGGGAGTCCTTATCGTGAAGCGATCCATCTCATGTGGAATATTTACAAATGCACATAATCAATGGTCAAATCAGGTCTCAGAGTCATCCTTCCAAGAACAGCTTAGAAGGAAGGAGGGGACGTAAACGTGCTGACAAGTGTCCAGCAGGACATGAGTTTCACCCTACTGTCCAGACTTAGTATATAGAACAGTGTCTACTAAAAATGCCTTTCTTAACTGCAATAAGCGGGGAGGGCAAGGGAAGGAAAAGACAGGAAATGAAACATGGCTATTCTGCAAGGCCACAGAACACAGAACTGCTCGGGATGTGAAGCACACATCTCTCTGACTCGGCAGTCTCAGGCTGGATTTCTGCAGGGTGAGGTAAGCGGTCTGCTGACAAAGATCAGTGAAGGGAATGGAAACACCCTAAAAGGATTCTAGAGCTACACTTGCATGCTGCTGGCCCCGCTGTTCCAGGGGTAGCCAGCTCCCTGCCCCAGAGCCCACCTGTGATGCCAGTGGTGCAGGTATTCTGGGCGGGGGGTGCCATCTTTCCACACGACAAGGTGACAAGGCTGATGTTGTACGAGGTAGAAAATTTCAAATATGTGATTTCTGTCCTGCGTTCTGTGTCACCGTCCGAAGAGCAGTTTTCCAGGTGTGTCGCATTGTGCCAACTGTCACTCTGGACCCCGAGCTCAAAACCTGAATTCATGCCAGGGGGGCAGTCCCACTTCAGGACCAGAATTGGCTCCTTGGGGACCAGCTCACAGTGGAAGAAGGCCACTGGTGCAGGTTCTGCAAAGCAAAGCACAGGGCAAGGTGAGGCTCACAGGAAGCAGAGGACCTGGCCCGGCACCATCAGGAGACAGCATGGATATGCACAGGTTGAGTGAACTAAGTGATACCAGACCATGTGACCTTGGGTCAGTCGCCTTATTGCCCTGGGGTTCAGCGCTGCTTGTCTAAGGATGAAATGGAACGTGAATGTCAGTCACCAAGCAATATTCTTGGAAGAGGGGCCGGAGAAACAGCTTAGCAGGTAGAGTGCTTGCTGCTCTTCTAGAGGACCCAAGTTCAGTTCCCAGCTCCTGCTCCATCCATCCCAGACATACATGCTCATGTGGGTTTTTCTCTTGCTTTAGGCTTCAATTTCAACAGGCATCCCAGCAGGCACCGCTCAAATCACAAAGTAAGCAAGTAGACCAGGTGGGATGCAGTCTAACTGAGCAAGGGTCACTTAAAGCCACAGAGATTTTTAACCACATCACATGATCTTCATCAGAGCCCAAGCCCTGAGCTCTGATGACTCCTGTCCCCTCACTGTCTAGCTCGGGCACATCCCCTCCCACCACCCTGGCCTCCACTAAATCCTCCAGCACTGTGTTCTCTCCAGCCTCAGGCCTTTGCACTGGCTGCTTCTCTGCTCGTAATGCAGGGGTCAAAAGCCTGTGAGATTCATGTGGCTGGCCCTTTACCCTCCTAGGATCTTTGCTCAGTCACCATTTAACCTTTTCACGGGGCATCCTCACCTGACACCCTAGATAAGAACACCAGGGGCTGGAGAGATGGCTCCGAGGTTAAGAGCACTGACTGCTCTTCCAGTTCAGTTCTGAGTTCAATTCCCAGCAACCACATAGTGGCTCACAGCCATCTGTAATGAGATATGGCGCCCTCTTCTGGCCTGCAGTCATACATGCTGTATACATAATAAATAAATCTCTTTAAAAAAAAAAAAAAAAAAACACCATTTCCCCCTTCCTTAGTTCTTTTCTCTTCCCTCTCCTTAGCCAGAATCATCACCTAACTACCTGCTCACTTTTATTTTTTATCTGTTTCATTCACCAGGATAAAAGTTCTAGAAATCCAGGGACCTTTCTAACATAGCAAATGTTCAACCAACACATGCTAAATGAAGCAATGGCAGCAGCATCGACGTGCTACTGATAGCTGCCGGCTGTCTTGCAGTGCTCCATGTCCATGGCTGCCCACTGCAGGCACAGGAGCCTACAGGCTGGGCAAGGCTTCCTGAATGTGAGTATCACAGAGAGAGGAACAGGGACCCCCCAGGAACATGGGACTACTCACCCATACAGAACGACTTCCAGCCAGGCACCAGTGACCATGTATCATTCCCAACTAGTGCAGAGATCTCCACTGTGTAAGAAGAGCCAGGGATTAAGCCAGGGAGCCTCAAAAAAGTGATTCCAGCGTCTGTGATGTTGGTTATATTGCTGCCATCTTCAGCCTTCACGGTAAGGTGGTAGGAATACTTAGGAGAGGCTGCGTCCGAATTCTTCCACCGGATGGCTGCCACAGTGGTACTGGTGCTTACTTCAATGTCATACACACTGCTGGGTCCTTGGTTTAAAACAAACAAACAAATAAAATGAACCACTTTGAATTATAGGACTATTATATTTACTATATCCAAAAGCTGCCTGGCTTTCTTCAAGAAAGAAATATAATTAATATGTACTGTTTCAGAAGACGATTACCCAAAAAGACAGTCATAAAATTATACATATTAAATCTGAAAAGAATTTTAAATGCTCAGGCTTCTTCTAATATTTAAGTTTATCATGTATTTTCCAATATAGTATTTCACAGAGAGAGGGGAAAAGGGAGAGAGAGAGGGAAAGCGCTATAGTTTCCAAGCCCCTTTTGGAATCTGACTAATAAAGAAGGTATAAAGCATATGGTAAGCTAACACCTCCCCCATCTATTCCATCTGAAAGCTAGGGAAGCGTCTCTCTCACTGTCACAGGAAGAGATCCCCATCTGAGGGGATCTTCAGGGCTGGCAGGACAGCAACTCTCGAGGCTATGTTTCTGAGGAGTAAGTGGCAGGCACTACAACATTCTCCATTCTCATATGATGTTATTTTCTGCTTCCAGAGAACACTTCTGTGTTCACAAGGCTCCAGCCACGGTGTCCTCAAGAGCTCAGAGCCTTTGCTGAGGCGGATGTTTTTGAGTTCAGCAGCTCCCACATCAACGTGAAACCCAGAGCATGATCAGCCCTTGCTCCATCAGCTCCTGCACTTCCTCCATGGGAGAGGAGGAAGCAGCACTCCCTCGGCCCAGCCCCACGGCCCCCAAGACTCACGTGTGTACTGGGCAATGGAGCTGGAGTCACCCTGGACATGGCCCAGTTCTGGAGAGATTGTGACATTATATAAGGTGCCTGGGGTGAGGCCCTTTAATGTGATCCATTTCTGAGAAGTGGTGGTCTTGTTGGGGCCACGTTCAGGCTCTAGAACTACACGGTATTTATATCCAGGAGCACTGTCCGTATTCTCCCACTTCAGCTGCATTTCATTGGTGGTGACATTGACCACGCGGATGTCAATCACAGCACTGCGGTCTAGTCAGAGAAAAGGAAGGAAAGTATCTAATCAGGATTCCAGGATTCATTTCAAAGCATCCGTTAAAAGAACCAACTCTTGGTTAGCCAACTCTCCAATGAGGTTAGACATGGCGCACTAGAGCCAGCCTGGGCTAGAGTGAGACTCTACTTAAAAAGCAAAACAAAACAAACAAACAAAAGAGCCTCCAGTGAGTTCACAAAGGCCAAACCCATGAAGACCAGACCAGAAGAGCAGGCATTGGATCCCCTGAACTGGAGTTACAGGTGGCTGTGAGCATGCATGTGGGTGCTAGGAATCAAACCCAGGTCCTCTGGGAGATCATTCAGTGCTCTTAATTGCCAGACATTTCTCCAGGCCTATATTCCATTTCTTACTCTAACCTAGGATTCTGATGCATTTAACCTGTGGCACTTCATCAAGCTATGTGCTGAGAATGGGTACAGTTTTTATTACCTACATTGTATCTCAATAAAGAGTGTGTTTGAAGCTGAGTGTGATTGTACACCTACCATCCCAATAATATCTATGAAGTTCAGGCAGGAGGATTTTAAGTTCAAGGCCAGCCTGAGCTCCACAGCATGGCCCTGTCTAAATAAATAAGTTAAGTGTTGGTTTGCTTGCTTTCTATCATTCACTCAAAAGAACGTGCATTCACATGAGCCGCCTGGCACATTAAAGAGGAAAATGAAGGAAGAGCTTCATAAACCATAATATGGTTACATGAGGAAACCTTTCTCTAAAAGCAGGAAGGCCATGCTAGCTATGGGGAGGATCATTATATACACAGAGCCAAAAGTTCAAATATAAAATCAAATTAGTTGTACAATTATGACAATGATGTAAACAAAAGGTATGGCCATGGGCACAGACAGGAGAGAAATTCAATCATATAAGAACAATTAAGAACTACATATGTTCCCTTCGCTTTTGCATGGTAAATAAACACAGCATACTATTTATCATTAGCCATCTGTCAATGTGCATTTTAGCAGTGCTAAACATATCCCTAGTATTGTATAAACATTACCATTATCACACTCAAAATGTTTTCATCATTTTTCAACGTAAAATCTGTACCTACTTCACACTACCTTCCCATTCCTTCTACCCGAGTTCTTCTCTGTCTCTGTGAACCCACCTACTCTGGGCACTTTGTATAAATGTAAGCATAAGTACTTGTCTTTTAGGAGTGTAGTGACACACACCTTTAACCCCAGCATGCGAGAAGCAGAGGCAGGAGGATCTCTGTAAGCTTAAAACAAGCTGTTCTATATAATACATTCCAGGCCAACTATGGTTACACAGTAAGACCCTGTCATTAAAAGTAATAATAAAATTATCTTTCTGTGTGTGACTTATTTCACTTTGTAAAACGTCCTTTGTGTGACTTATTTCACTTCCAATATTTACAAGCTCCATCTCTGCTGCAGCATACATGAGGATCCACTCCTTAAGGCAGAATAATATTCTAGTGTGCAGAAACAAAGCCGTATTTTGTCTACTTGTGTGCCAATGAATCCTGGGCGGCTTCTGTCTTTGGGTTTCTGTGAATGAACACTGGTGTACAAAGTTCTTTCAATTCTTTCTGAGAGATACCAAAAAGTGGAACACTAGATCAGAAGATACTTGTTTCCCTCTCTCTAGGTAGCCTTTAATGCTGCTCCACTATGTCCGAGGAACGGTGACGGCTATTCAATATGGACAGGAACTCGAAGTATCTGGGACCATACTCCAACCCTACTCTTGCCACCTATTCCAAGGAACCTACCCCTAGGCCGCACACAAATGCAAGGCTGATTTCAAATTATCCCATAAAATAAATATTGCCAGACATGTTGGCACATGTCTAAGCAGAAGCAGGCTGATCTCTGTGAATTCAAAGCCAACCTGGTCCAAAAAGCCAACAAGTTCCAGGCCAGCGAGAGCTACACAGTGAAACCTTGTTTCAAAAAAAATGAATAAATAAATAAAAAGATAGATAAATGAATAACAATGATGGGAAAATATTCACAATACACAGGTAAGTAAAGAGAAAGCAGATTATAAAACCACACATGAGCAAAGGCAGTAAATATGTGTTTGCATACATCTTAAAATAGCATCAGGGAGCTGGCTACGGTAGCATGTGGCTTTAATCTCAGCATTTGTGAGGTGTAGTTCGAAGCCAACCTCAGAGAGCCACATGAGACCCTATCTCAAAAGGGGCGGGGGGGAGGGGGAGCTGGTAAGATGGCCCAGTGAGTAAAAGCACTTACCACACAAGCCTGACAACCTGAGTTCAACTCCCAGCACCCAGATCCCAAAAGTTATCTTCTAACCTCCACACACACAGTGTGGCACCTAATTGATGGTTTTGCGTGTCATTTTGTTTCTTTGTTTTTGGTTTTGCGTGTAATTTTGTTTGTTTGTTTTTGGCTTGACTTAATTCTTGTATTGTTGATATGCACCACAGTCATGAAACATTTTAAGATTCTTTTTCATAAAAAGAAAAATATATTTGTAAACAAGACATCTATAAATTAAGCTGGTTTCCTGTAAGAAACTTCAAGGTCAAGACACTTACCAGTTCTACCATGGACTGTTCTGGAGGGCCCTTGAGTCCCATCTGGTCCTCTTGGAAATATTTCAAAATGATAACTGGTCCCAGGATTTAAGTTTTCAATGATGATGCTCTGATTTCGGGTTGTAGCATTTTGAATCACCTCACCTCTCTCCTGCATGGTGAGAATCTTAAAGGATTCTGAGTCATTGCTTCTCCAAGTCAAACCAATTTCCCTTATGCTGACATGTGTCACTTGGAAGTCAGAAACTGGACCGGGGGCTGTGAAAGACAGTGAGGGAGTTAGACGAAGAACTCCATCTCCAGGCACGGTACAGTAGTGGCACTGCCCCACAACACCAACCCTTGGCAACCTGAGACAGGGGGATCTCGAGTTCAAGACCAGCCTGGACTACAAAGTGAAAGCTTGTCTCAAAAACAAAAGGATAAAGTCCGTCTCCAGAGGGCAGGGAGACCAAGCCTCCTAAGACGCTGACCTGTTCTCCCTTTTGCTTTTCTCCAGGGCACCAACTGCAGTGTAAGCCCCTTCAAAAACTGGCGCTTCTGGCTAAAGAAAGACCACTTGGCCACAAGAGTGCAGATACCATGCTAGTCACCCGCAGGCAGTGACAGGAGGTAAGGATTCCCAGGCACAACCTAGAGTCTCCTGGGAAAGGAAACCTCGGCTGTGCAACTGCCCAGACTGGATTGGCCTATGGCCATGGCTGTGAGAACGGTCTTGATTGATGATTGATGTGGGCAGGCCCAGCCCACTGTAGGCACGCTGTATTTGGGAAGGTGGGCCTGGGTTGTTCAAGAAAACTAGCTGAGCACGAGCCAGAAAGCTGGCCAGCAAGCCACGTTCCTCCATGCTTCTGCTTCAGTTCCGTCCTGACTTCCCCAAGTCATGGATTGTAACCTGTAACCAGGTTGCTACCTGGAAGGGTAACCTGAAGTAAACTTGTTCCTTCCGCCTAGTTTCTTTGGTCACAGAGTTTACCACACAACAACAGGAAAGCAAACCAGACCGGATACTAAGGAGTGAACTTACAAGTATACACTTGGAGGAAGCCTGGTGTGCCCTCGGTGTGTCTCAGGAAAGGACGCACTGTGATGCTGTACAAGGTGCTGGAGCTGAGTCCAAGGATGAGGGCCTCAGTCTTATTGACAGTGTGGTTGGTGGGATTAGTCCCCCCAGCCACGTGTATCTTGTAGGTGTAGGGAAGAGATGACCCATTATACTTGCTCTTCCAGGTCAGGGTCATATTTGTGGCACTGACGTTCACAGCTCTGATGTCAAAAACCTGGCTGGAATCTTTGAAGACACAAGAGAAGGAGAAATAATCAGGATGGTCAAGTCAGAATGAGAAGAGAAAGCATCCCCAAGACCTGTCATTAGTCCTGAGGAAAACATTTAGGGACTGGTCACCCTCACTCTCAGCTTACCAGAGCTGTATGTGGGTCTCACCAAAGTCGAGCATCAGTGAAGACACAGCCTGGCCACCTGCACTTCACAGATGCTCTGTTTTCAGTTTGTGAGAAGACCTTGAAACTACAGATTACAGATCAAACAATAGTATGGACTTTCACGTGCTGCCCGGGGGGTAGGAGAGGTGAGTCAGAAAAGTCCTCAAGTACAGATCCACCCAAGAACAAACACTATTCATCATGAATTAAAGGTATCACATCTGGACAGAAAGCACACTGGATTCTTAGGCCAGCTGGGCTTTACCAGCCAGATCGACCTTCGGAAAGCCACGGAACTGCTTTCTCATCTGTGAGACAGTTATCCACCCTAGCCTTACAAGAAGACAACGTGAGGACTGGATGTCCTCTAGTTGTTGTGAAATAATCTTTCTGTACACTGTGAAGATGTCTTTGTCAAGGCACCTTCTGACTGGTTTAATAAAGAGCTGAATGGCCAATAGCTGGGCAGAAAGAGGTTAGGAGGGACTTCCAGGCAGAGAGACAAGAAGAGGAGATGAATCTAGGCAGGGGAGAGACGCCAGAGGAGACAGAGAGGAGGCAGGACACGCAGGAGGAGAGGTGAAAGCCATGAGCCAAGTGGCAGCACATAGACTAATAGAAATGGGTTCAGTTATAGGAGCTGGTTAGAAACAAGAATGAGCTAAGGCCAAGCTTTCGTAATTATTTGGGAGCTGGCTGGCAGGGCAGAAAAAGACTTGTTATATCCAGTTATCTGCTCTCCCAGCCTATTCTCTTTCTTCTGCCTGTCCTGAGTTCCAGAAGGCTACATTCTACATGTGCCATCATTGGAGACCTTCCATATGGCCTGTGAGCACTCTCCACCAATGAATGAGATCGGCAGGATGCTGAGGGCTGGCTGACAGGGGAGTCATCGGCCTTACATCCCACATCCTCTGAAAACTCTCTCTTCCCTTACTCCAGCTCTGAAGGTAGCTTTCCACCAGCCACTTGTTTGGGTCCTAAATATACTCGACAGTTTCCTTAACCCTGACTCACATGACCAGTCACTTGAACAATACCAGATGGGGTGTGTGTGTGGGGGGGGGGGTGTTGGAGATATATAGATATAGATCTATAGATCTATAACCCCCACCCTCAATTTCTCCTGTTGAAATCCTAACTGCTGGGCTGATGGCATTCAAATGTGGGCTTTTAGAAAGTGATTAATCATGAGGGTGATTAGAAGATCATGAATAGAATCAGTGTCTTTATTAAGAGCCCCAAAAGCAGCTCATCTGTACTGTGATATTGGAACACAGGCTCTACAACACAAAAGGAGGCCCACAACCAGAGACCAACTATCCCTAGCAGCTGACTTCACACTTCTATCCCCCAGAACTGTGAAAAGTAAAGGTTTGTCATATAAGCTGTCCAGTCTGTGGTAATTTGTCACATCAACCAGAACTAACCAACACATAGGTATAAAACTCAAACACTATATAAAGACCACATAGCTTCCACATTTATCAAATCGTGGGATGGTGCTGTGGGATGGTCTGTATGTCAAATTGCTCTGATTGGTCAATATATAAAACACTGATTGGCCAGTGGCTAGGCAGGAAGTATAGGCAGGACTAACAGAGAGGAGAAAAGAAAGAACAGGAAGGCAGGAGTCACTGCCAGCTGCCACCATGACAAGCAGCATGTGAAGATGCCGGTAAGCCACGAGCCACGTGGCAAGGTATAGATTTATGGAAATGGATTAATTTAAGCTATAAGAACAGTTAGCAAGAAGCCTGCCACGGCCATACAGTTTGTAAGCAATATAAGTCTCTGTGTTTACTTGGTTGGGTCTGAGCAGCTGTGGGACTGGTGGGTGAGAGAGATTTGTCCTGACTGTGGGCAAGGCAGGAAAACTGTAGCTACAGGACAGTTTACCATAATCCAGGATATGTATGCATCCAAACCAACAGTCTACATGACAATCACAGTAACTTTCGTTTTTCCCACAGTACTTTAAAAAACAGACATTCAGAACCCTGAGGACCTGATTCCTCTCAGCAAATCAGGCAGATGTCCCCTCCTCTGGATGGACCCAGTTCAGCAGGCCTAGTGAGGGACACAAGGACTGGATAGGGACCACCCTCTTATGCAAGCTCCTCATGTGTGGGACCGCCTGCCACTGATGACAGCATCTCTGGGGCACCAGTCTCTTCAGCCAGCCTTCCTCAGGCTGAGTCTCGGTGCCCCTCTGTCACTAGCCCACTGAGGACCCTGAGGGAAGCAGCTACTCCACGCCACCTCTCTCCTTCCCAGCAAAATGTTACCATTTCCAGAAGAGGAAAAAAGAAAGACACAAATTGCTCCTGCTCCAGCACGGATGCTGGGAAAAGCTGTCATTCCTTACAGGCATGGCTTCTAACCAACGTCTTCTCCACATTTTCTAACCCTGTACAGGCCACACAGTCTCACCAGCCATGGCCGGCAAGTATTCCAACGTGTGCTTCTTCTTGTCCCCTCCCCACTCACTAAAAGGGAGAAAATTCTCAAGACATACATGTAGCATCTCTCTAAGAGTTACACTAAACACTGAGATGTCCCCCAAGTCCCCTCCTTCCCCTGCATCCCCTCATCCCAGGTTCGCGTCCTCACTTCCCAACCCCTGGGCCCCTGGCTAGGGCTTCTTGCTGCCCTAAGCCATCTGCTGCTGTCCCCACGACCATTCTGAGCACTATCTTACCCAGTCGCCTGAGGATGGGGGTTTGTGGTCCAGGGCTATCTTTTATAAACACTTGGACAGAAGAGATTTTTAAACAGAGTCATAAACCTGTCAAAGCCCCTCGGGTGAGCCGCCTTGCCACCACCTCTCCCAATACTCCCCTGCCCTCTGCCTCACACCCCAGCTCTGTCGTCTGTCTTTCCGATCAAGACCCTTCCTCAACTCAAGTGTCCTTCCCCCTGCTCCCCTTCCATCCCATCTCCATTTATCCAAGGCCTACCATCTTCCCTGTAAGAGACCCTTCGTCAGGACTGGATGTTAGAACTGTCCTCTCATCTCCCCCAGGTCCGCAGCATTTGGAGGGCAGCAGAATGCACAGGAGCCAGGCACCACCTGTGCAGCAGCCCCGCTCCCTTTCCACGTGGTGGCCAACATGTTTGGTGGGAGGAACTGCTGGTCATCCACATGAGAGCCAAGGGACACCACAAGGGACACCAGCTCCCTCACCCAGCACAGCCATGCGTCAAGCGGATATACCACATCTATCCGGGGACTTGGAATTCTGGCACATCACCAGATCTAGGGTGGCCCAGCACTTTCGTGGATGCCGGTTTGTCTTCTGAGCTGGCTCCTCAGCCTTGGCCCTCACTCCCTCAGGTCTGTTGACCTAGGATAGTCTTTCAAAATATTTTCTGCTAAGACACCCCAAGCCAGTGCACACCGAGTCCCTGAGAGCTATGAAGCTGCGGACAGTGTCTGCTCCTGGGCTCAAAGGGCCCAAGTGTAGATGTTTCCATGCATGTATCTCAAGACCAGGAACCATACATCTCCTTATTCCATCATAAGCACCAATTGCAAAAGCTCCCAAATACTGAACTCACAGAGTGGGAGTACCTATGAACGACAGCTAATGATGGCAATGTGAATGTCAGCAAGTGTCCCCATAGAAAGTTCAACATGGCCAGGCGGTGGTGGCGCACGCCTTTAATCCCAGCACTTGGGAGGCAGAGCCAGGCGGATCTCTGTGAGTTTGAGGCCAGCCTGGGCTACCAAGTGAGTTCCAGGAAAGCAAAGCTACACACACACACATGAGAGAGAGAGAGAGAGAGAGAGAGAGAGAGAGAGAGAGAGAGAGAGAGAGAGAGAGAGAGAGAGAGAGAGAGAAAGAGAGAGAGAGAGAGAGAACTCTGCATCCCTGCATCCACACCCCTTCTCAGTGAGCTTCACAACAGATATACCATGGCCAAAGAGGTAAGTAGAAACCCAGTGCATGGGCTCTATCCAAAATCTCTCTCAGGAAGATCCTGCTAATAACAGAACTAGCTGCTAAGAGAAATAAGTCAGAGAGAGAGAGAACGGCAAAAGATAAAACGTTATGGGGCTGGGGGAGACTCTAGCTGAAGCCATTCCACAAACTCCAACCTACTTGTTTTAAACACTGCTTCGTCCCCGGGCTGTCCCTCGGTGCCGTCTGCTGCTCGAGAATAAACGGTGGCTGTGTAGTCAGTATCAGACTCTAACCCAGTGAGCACGACCTCTGTGCGAGAGGGGTCCCGAACAGAGGAGAGGTCTACAGAGTCCAGCAGCTGGCACACCACTGGGCTTCTCCAAGTGCTGCTGTTAGCTGTTTCAAACACAGGAGGCGAAGACATTAAGGAGAGAATACATCCCCACACACACCTTTCACCACCCCAGCCCATGGGATGACGCATCGAACAGCGCCCAGTTGGTACTCCATAAATACCTCTTCTCTGCCTCCTCCCGAGAAAGATCCGGTTCCCGGAAAGAACCAGGTATCTCACTTTGTACGAGTGCTCCAGAAACACCACAGCTACTTTGTGGTTCTCTTTGAACTCTGGTATGCTGGACCTTCCGCCTTTCTTTGGGAGCTTATCTACCATCCCAACATGGTTTCCCACAGACCATCCCATCACTCTACCTTTGCTAACAAAAGTCCACTCAGGAGGGTTTTCCCAGGACTACACCTGAGAGGGTGTCAGGACCAGCAGGGGATGAGATGAGAACATCGCCTGACCATTTCTCCTTGAACTGCGTGGAAGGGCCTCCCTGAGAAGCCCCTGGCACACAGACGGAAGCAGGAGGAAGAGAGCGACCCAGCTTCTGAAGGCCTCCCTACCTGTCATGGGCCATAAATTACCTTTCACTCTTAGCACTTAACGTCTGGTTTCTGATCCTGATACCCCATTGGCATCTCTGTTTCCTTGGTGTAAGATGGGGATTAAGTCTCTGTCTCTCATTTCACAGTTACCAGAGGAACCCACTGGAAATGCAACACAGTCTACAAATGACTCCTCCAAAGGAAGGACAGAAGACATCTGCGGGTTTGCCGGCTAAGGGTCCCTCTTCTCCACGGAGATGACTGGTCTGGCCATCCTTAGGTTAACATCTGTCGGCTGCTCACCTGAGTAAAAGGTGGAACAGCCTATCTGCTTTCCTGAACTCCAAAAGCCAAAAGTTTCGATCCCTGCCACAGGCTGAGGCCTGTGCTCACTGTAAAACACCAGCCCTCCTCCTTCTTCCTAAATGTAGGTCAGACTACACTGTGGCAGGAAAGCCCTCCAGCGATTCTAAAACCCTACACAAATACGTGAACAGTGGGTTTTAAAACCAGTCAACGATAAAATCAGAAGCTGATGCACGGTTTTGTAACTCACCTTCTCCAGCTTGTAAGCCGTTCTGCGTCTCATTGGATTCTGAAACAGGACAGATATGACGGGTGCCCGGCCTCAGGTCTGAAATATTGAAGGACTTTTCGAAGCCTGCAAGAAGCATCCGGTAGGAGGCAGTGCCTTTGGCATCGCTCCAGACGAGAACAGCTTGCGTCACACCCAGGAAGGCAACTCGGAGATCAGACACTGGCCGAGGTTCTGTTCCAAAAACACACAGTGGGTATGAGCGGGAGAGGAATCTGCAGCCACCCTCCCTTCCGTCACTGCCACTTCAAAGTGACCCACTAAAAATATCTCATTTGTATCAGAGTCTAAACATCCCCACGACATCTCAGGGGCAGGGGACAAACGCTATCTGAAAAGATGAGAAGGAATAAGCCTTAAAGCCAAAACTGCTTATGTTCTGTGTTCCTGTTCAAGATTAACCCCAACAGGAATTTGAAATTCTTTAAAACACCCTTCCATACGGTGGCATTGAACTGCATTTATTTTAGACGCTGAAAACAAAGCATTAAAAAAAAAAAATGTTTCTAAATCTAGAAGTCTCCGTTCAAAATAATGCAAACGGTATCATTTTATAATGGCCAGATGTTCTAACCCAGGAGACATCCTTGCACTCCAACACCAAGGAATTTTTTCTGAAAGACTTGCCCAGGCCCTTCCATGACCTTATTTGCCTAATGGTAACATAGACCATTTCAGCCTAAGAGACACACACTCCCTTCAGTTTTTGCAATTTTTTTTTATTGCTTGATTTGTTGGTTTCACTAAGCAGCCCAAGTTGGGCTCGAACTTGCAACTATCTTCCTGCTGTGGATGATGGATTGATAAATAAAATGCTGATTGGCCAGTAGCCAGGCAGGAAGTATAGGCGGGACAAAGAGAGAGGAGAGGTCTGGGAAGTGGAAGGCTGAGGCAGAGAGACGCTGCCAGCTGCCACCATGAGAAGATGTTAAGATACCAGTAAGCCACAAGCCACGTGGCAACTTACAGATTAATAGAAATGGTTTAATTTAAGATATAAGAACTAGATAACAAGAAGCCTGAGCCATCAGGCCAAGCAGTTTAAATAATAAAAGCATCTGTGTGTTTATTTTGTAAGTGGGCTGCGGGACTGCGGGAGCTTGGCGGGACGGGAGAGAAGCTCTCCAGCTACATCTTCCCACCGCTGCCTCCTGAGGACTAGCACTAGGAGCACGCCGCCCCCCCACCCCAGCCAGCACTCCTCCCTTCACTGTGTGTCAGAAGACCAGGGACAGCAGAAGGGGCAGGTGACTCGCTCAAGGGCATACAGTGTGCTCAGCGAGGAGATGAGAGTGCAGAGAAGCCCATACAGGCAGAAGTGGTGCAGTTCCAGAGAGGGACCCTGCCTGAGGCCTGAAGAGGGCTGCCTGCAGATACTGGCCCAAACGATTCGGGGGCAGCCTCCAGCTCTGACATGAGGTGACTGGTCGGCTTTTTGGTTTGACTTCTCGCATCAGGTATCTCAAGAGGCGAAGACTTCTAAATCAGGTCACCGTGGGTTGCTTGGATTTTGTGGTTAAGGGGGGGTTACACGGAGGCCTCCATGCCCACCCATCGCGTGGTATGTGGGTGCCGACGATCCAAACTCTGGTCCTCACAGTTGTACAGCAAGCACTTTACACACTGAACCATCTCCCCAGCCCGTGCGTGCGTGCGTGCGTGTGTGCGTGCGTTCGCTGTGTATATTTTGTTGGTGCTGAGAGTTGGACCAGGGTCTCACACATACTAGGCAAGCACCACACCACAGAGCTACAACCCCTGCTCTCTATCTTTATTATTAAAGAATGTAACACCAATACACTAGACAATTTAGTGGATTTTGGTGACTGTATGGGTATCATGGTTCTCTGTTAGCTAGAATCAGGCTCTCCAGGTTCCGATTCAATTGCTTAGTATCTGGTACTAAGGGATCTTAGAAGAAACTTAACTTCTCCACACCACCTTCAGCTTTAGGGGCTAAAATAATGTTTTTCATACACAGTGTCTGACATGATCTCTCCCACCGAGACCTGTCCTGTGGACTCCAACAGAGGTAAAGGCACTCTCCTCACCTCCCCATGTTACTGCTACTACAGTCACCAGCCCTGTTTACTTTGTCCCTTACTTGTTGTGACATGTTTGTCCATGGGGCTTTCCGAGGGCTGACTGGCTGACAATGGAGTGATGAGGAATGTATAGGAAGTAGCTGGACTTAAGCCTGTGATGTTATATGATGTTTCGTTTATTTTAGTGATGAAGAATGTATAGGAAGTAGCTGGACTTAAGCCTGTGATGTTATATGATGTTTCGTTTGCGTTAGTAGTAAAATTCACATTCGTTCCATTAATCTCTATTCTGTAAGCATCTGCAGCAGCTGAATCACCGTGATTCCATGTTAATCTCACGCTGGTCGGGCTGGAAACAGCTTCAATGTCATATCTAGAGCTTGTTGCTATTTAAATACAGAAGAAAGAGAGAGAGAGAGAGAGATTAATTACATGTAATAAATATAAGAGTAAAGCCCACCTTGTATGTCTACTTTTCAGAACTCAATTTTATTTCTCTTCATTTGCCTCTTTGACTTTCCTGAAACAAAACACATCCAAGAACACATGTGCTCATGCACGAGTGTGTGTTCTTAAAACTGAAGACAAAACAAACAGAAACTGGCCACCTTGGCTGTGAGTTTAACATAGAGTTAAATCTTGACATAAGCTGACACAGAGATCTCAGATGCAAAATGAGTCTTGGAAAACTGCCTATGAAAATCTATTCTACCAACTGGCTGAGTGACTTGGGGTGAGCCCCTTAAAACTACTCCATCTTAACTCAATACACCACTCCAACTGTGAAGGGTTATTATTAAACCATTAGGACAAAAGAGACGAGATCATTACATTAAGACCTCAATCCTACTTGCCCCTCGTCATATAATTTTATACAAGAGTCGTCTCAAGTCTCAGACTATCAGTTTCATCCTCGGGACAATGCCAGGTATGCAGGATCCCAAACCAATGGAAGACACATGGTTAGTCACAGTGACCCTAGCAAGTGCATGCACCCTGGTTAAGTTCCAGACTGAGGAGTAATGCCCAGGAACAGCAATGTACAAGGTAAGCCCTTAATCCTAAGGTGCTGAGAGACCACGGGTAACATCTTCTCAGCATGAATGGGATCATGTGTCTCACCTCAGGGCAGGTGCAAATTTATCCAGTTCATAGAAAGGAGGGGAAGAGAAATAGAGAGAAGAGAAACACTTGAGGAAGGATCTTGTCAGGCCCCTTCAGGCCTGAGTTTCCTCTACGAAGTTCACATATCACTGGGTATTGCCATTTATAGTCAATGATAACGGTGATGAGCAAAGAGGAGGAAGCCAATCAGCAGCAGCGCCCCTGGTGGGCAGTTAGCAATGGCCCAGATGTGCTACCAGGTACAGAATGTGCACGTCCCACTGACTCTCCTCATCCGCAGGCCAGCTAGCCACCATTTTCAATAGCAAAAAGATATGCGAGGAGCTCAATTTTTTCATTCATATAGACAATCTGAGCAACGTGGGAAAAGAGATTCCTACATTTCAATAGTCATGGGGAGGGCCACAATTTTTTCAAATTTTGCTAAATGTTTCCTCTCCGTTTATTGAAATAATACCGTGGATTTTGTCCATTCTATTAATCCAATGTATCACATATGCTGTTTGCATATGCTGAACCACACTTAAATCCCTGGGATGAATCTCACTCGATCACAATGAACAGTCTTCAATGTGCTGTTGAATTGGGTTTCTGGTCTTTTATGAAGGAAAAAGTCATTTATTAATATACACCTCCCTCTTAGAACAGCTTTTTGCCGTATCTCGTATGTTTTGAAATATGATCTTTCCATTTTTTTTCTCAAATGTTTTAATTCCTTTTTTTTTTCCTTTGCATTGTTGGTTCCCTGAGAGCACACTGCTAATTTCCAAATATCCGTAAAGTTTCCAGAGTTCTTCTTAACTGGAATTTAATCTATTGACTGGATTTCTAGCTTTCCTTGATTGCAAGAGATACTGGCAGTGCTCTCAGAATTCTTACACTTGTAAGGTGCATTTTGTAGCCTAGCATAAGACTATCCCAGACAGTGCTCGATCTCCGGTGGAGAAAAACGTGTATTTGCAGCTACTGAAGAACACACCTGGATGTGTCTCTTAGTTCTCTTTGGCAACACTATAATTGGAACTCAGGCCTTCATCCTTACTTCAGCACTGTCGGTAGTCAAGCTGGGGTCACACAACTCATACCCTACTGTGGTGGTTTGAAAGACATGGCCCCCAAAAGGAATGGCATTACTAGGAGGTGTGGCCTTGTTGGAGGAGGTGTGGTCTTCTTGGAAGAAGTGCATCACTGTGGGGGAAGATTTTGAGGTCTTTTTCTCAAGCTTCACTCAGTGTCACACTCAACTTCTTGCTGCGTTCTGGTCAAGATGTAACCAGCACCATGTCTGCCTGCATGCCGCCATGCTCCCCATCATGATGATAATGGACTGAACCTCTGAAACTCTAAGCCACCACCTCAATTAAATGTTTACTTTATAAGAGTTGTCATGGTCATGTGTCTCTTCACAGCAATAGAAACCTTAAGTAAGACACCTTCTGCATGTGGTAAAAACACCTTCTCAATTATTCACCCTGCTGCCTGTCACAGAGGGTGACTCTACAGATGGATCAGGTATACAGCCTTACTCCAGAAATCAACTCTGGGGGCTGAGCCTAAATCCCACTCCCTATATGTTATGGGCTAAATTATGTCATCCCCAAAATCCATACATTAAAGTATTAAGCACCAGTACCTGCAAAATGTGTGTGTCAAGGGGTTAAGTTCAAATGAGGCCATGAGGGTGGAGCCTCTCCCAATAAAATTCAAAACAGATACAAAAAAATATTTTGTATGTTGCAAAATATTTGTATACACTGTAAAGATGTGTCTCTGCCTACAGCAC